TACATAATACATATATTATGGAAATTATAAAACGAAGATGCATAGTATTTTATATACAATAAAAATTGTATCTTTGTATTATTTAATTTTATATTTATATCAACAAGTTAAAATTATGTAAGGTACACTGAATTATTCTGGTGTCTGGTTTTCTTTCTCTTTTTTTTTAGATTGACCTATCAGATTACAGGGAAAAACGATACTAAATATATGCCATGTGGGTAGTGTTTTATTTTATGTTATTTTACGAAATATACACATTATGTCAAGTGTAGCTTGTGGCATACACTGTATATATTCCCATAAATAGAAAAATATTTTAAGCAGACAAACAAGAACATCGTTAAGTTTGATATTTAAAACTGTACTTAATAAATAAATAACCAGACATATTATAACGAAAGAAGAATAACAATAATTTGAAGTAGTTTTAATTTATAATGCAATAACGAGTTTTCGTGTTAGATAGAAAATTACCGATGAAAAGAAATATATCGAAAGTTAAACTATATAGTTTACTGATGGCGGTAGGAATAAATTCGGTTGTAAGTTCTATATAACATGGTTTTTAAGAGTTTAAACCAATACGACAAGACAACAAAATCACCAACACCGGTAGTCCCTCATTTTTTAAATGACGTTTGTAAGGAGGAAACGTAACATATTATGTATATGCAATGAAAATACCCAATGAATGATGAGGTTCCTGGAATATTACAAAAGTCTCTAGGACATCAATCTTCTAAGTGACTTTGGTAGGTACCTATGTGTCCTCGGACATACTAAAATTACATTCCGTTATATTAAAAAATTTATATTTAATATAACACAAACATTTGTTATTTTTTTTTTTGTATTTTAATAAGGAATATATTCTTATACAGTTTCTAGAACAATTCTTCATATTTTTAATGAATTAAATAAGAATCTAAATAATTATTTTATCAAGTTTTTATATAATCAATACTATTTCAGTTTTCAATAAAGAAACCGTAAAATACAAAAATAATTATAAATTTGATTGATTTTTCTGAATCATGATAATACAATAGGATACATGATAATCATAGTTCCAATGAAGCATTACAAAAATCAAATTATGAGTCCTTGGACACCATCTTATATTGTATGGATAACCGGCATATTAAGTTATATATTATTCACTATAACAATAATATTATAGTAAATTAATTAGTGTTAGAGAAATTCTATAAGAATACTATTTCTATCAGATAAATTGATATGACTCACATATTTTATTGTTATTGCTATGTCTTTTCAAAAAATTAAGGTTAAAAATAAATTAGAATATACTGGTTGTACAATTGGTATATGACTGATGTTTTAGACACGGTGTTATATTAAATTAATATTTGAAAATTTAGAGTATATTTTATTGATATTAATAATTAAACCTTAATGAAACGTAATATTTATTCGACGGAAATACGGTTACTCGTACCAACTATAATTTAAAATATTATACACATTGATTTGAAACGTACGTACTTTATATACTCGTATTTATATAAAATATAAGACGACTTGGACGGGAGAAGGGCACAGTTATAGTGACTTTGTGAATGTCACCCTTGGGATGGTTGACAGGCAATCAAAACACATACCTCCGGCCATTCACGGGTTACCGTCCGAAATCAACCCTTTTTGATTAGTGCTTCCTGACCAGGAGGTGGTTTATCGCACTTATACAGCGCCATTCACCCTGTCCACGGTACTCCCGCTCGTCTTTCAGCCATTCAAAATTAACAAACCCCCGAGAGTCCACTTTCCGAGGATTAGTTGTTCGGGCGTAAATCCTGCGACACACGAATTTACAACGTATACCTATACTGACTTGCACGGACGCAACAACAATTTTATTTACGAGACGTTTTCTGCACTCGGTGAATTTGTCCCCGTTAAATGCATTTATAGGCTATTATTTATTTATTATTTTTTTTTTATGATCACCGAAAGCTATGAAATCGAATTCAACGTAGTGGTCGTGCGCCGACGTTCGAAAAATGTTCTGACAAAGACTGATGATAACCGGCAAACTATACGAGTTTGGTTTATTACAAAAGAAAAAAAATGCTATAGGATACCGTCCTTCCTGATTTGAAAAATGAGCGTACCCCTTTATTTTTACCACTTCTTTTTTCCGCCATCAACTCTGAGTTATTGCAAATGCAATATGAATTTGAGGATTTCAAGAGGCTTTCACAATAAAAGTTTCTTTTCCCATCACCGCTCTCCTGTACAAAACCCTTCCATGCACTGTTCATATTGTCTTTAGACAATACTGTCCATATTGTCAATACGTAGCTTTAGGTCGTATTGACAGTGCTCCCTATAAATTCTTCCGGTTTTCTTTGTTTTCTTAAAAAAAAAGCCAAGTTATCTATTTTACCTCATATTTTAAACTAAAATATCCTTTTTCATAACTAATTTTAAATTTGATACACGTGTATGTAAAATAATAAACTAAATAAGTTGTCTAAATAAATAAATCTCTAGTTTACAAATCTCTAGTCGCCTTTTAAAATATTAAAATAATTTTATTTTCTGTATCATACAACCAAAACAAGACCAATAGAAACAAATGGTGATAAGTCATAAATACATAAGTAAAATAAATAAATAGATAAATATTATAATACATAATAATAAAATAATAACAACTAACAATGTAATAGAATGCATAATTTTATCACAGGTATTAGTGTATTGTGCTTATAATACTTGGCTAGTTCGCTTAAGCACTCATATTATGATACATCATTTTAAGTTTACAACAGACTAGACTAATGGATTTTGTAATTGACTATCGGCCGAGTAGTAAAATTAAACACATATATTCCGATACTCGTAAACACTTTACGGTATTATGGGATTATTTCAACTATGAAGTTAACGTACCATATTGCCTTTATTAAAACACAATTATACTTCGATGAAACAACTTGACGTATAAAATGTATTATTACAACTAATCATTATTATTGCTATTTGCTAATAACCATTACTGTATAAAGAATAATATTTGTTTTGTTTGACCGAAGAATGAATTAAACATAAAACAAAAAGGGTGCATTGAAGTCGTATTTGCATTTGATGAATAACGCAAATTTTCTTTATTCTAAAATCCCATTTATTCGCAAAGTCGAGAAACAAAAACCACTCACTTTTTAGCTTATGAGTGCTCAAAAATACAATAAAAATATATAATAATATGAAACGTCGAATTTTCGATTGTGGTTTTTAATAGAAAATGAAGACTTGTAATAATGGGGAACGCAACACAGACAAGTGGCTGTTAGAGAGCTTAACATGGGCCGAGGGGTCGTAAAATGTGCCTCCATCGTATGTTTGTTTTTCAAGTAACTATAAGGGTAAACAACATTGGTCCCGGCGTTAAAAGCCTCGAGTCGTCGTTGCGTTTAAACGTTTTCTCGGGGCAACAAACATGAGATATTGCTCGGGTCACTAATTCTTGTTCCGGGCCTTTTATTCAGTAATAGACGAGAAATACACCACTGACAATGCTCCGTTCATTTCCCCACTATAAATATAACCCACCCCCTCTAGACCAAAAATATATATATATATATATATATATTTATTCCCTCATTGGCAGAGATGGAGGAAAAGGGTTGGAATAGTCAGAAAATAAATAACAGCTGTACACGTTATTAGAAACAGTAAAGTGCGAGGCGAAATTCCATCGTATTTTGTGGAAGAGGAGAATCCCTTTTATTATTTTCCATGCATTTAAATTAAACTGTTTTCACCCAGATAACTACATTTTTCTCACACCATAGGTTTCCCGTGTAATAATAAGCTCCTGTTGCTACTTTACAACCCCCCTCACTTGTGCAAAGGCTTCTGTAGAGCTACACATAAACAACTTTGTTCATGGTGTGAAGGTTATAGTGTTCTCCATTTCTTTTAAAGTGGTCGTTATTCAAATCGTACGAAAAATGCAATGTTTAACAAAAATCATTTAATAAACTAAAATGATGAAAGGCTATTAAAGAAAAAAAATTCTATTTAAAAGTTGTTTGGAAATAACGTTAAAAATTACAATTTTTCATCGTTGAAGACAGCTATAGTTTTAATTTTAAAACAACCAAACAAAACTGTGTTATTTATTTATTTTATTATTGTTTTTTTTGCAAGTTGTTGGTTTTTAAAAATGAAAATGAAAAGATACATATTGTAGCTATATTAAAAGGAAGGCATAACTGTAGACCGATAGGATGGGAGGGTTTTTTTTTATTAATAATATCCACGAAACGAACGTCAGACGGCCGGGTTCCGCAGTATTGTACACAACAGTCCATTTCGTAATTAAAGGAAGCAGGTCGGTCTCGTATCGCATTGATCACTTGCCACGTGAATCCGTTTGCCAATTATCGTGATTGAGTTCTCTGGTAAACGGGCAAAGCTCCTTTAGATCGCAACCACTAATATAATATAACAACAGCAACAATAACAACAATACAACAAAAACAACAACAATAATAATAATAATAATAATAATAATAAGGTAGGTATATATCCTTTAAGGATACTGCGCGTTGATTGTATTAACCAACACAATGTACTATTATCTGGGCAGTTCCTAAGTTTTGACGATAAATGAAAAGCTTCTTGGAAAATGTACGAAAATTAAACAATATTATACCTACGTACACTAGTTATCCTAACTTTATTCTATATTAAAGACAAAATGTGTTCTAAATCCGTCGGCTTTGAAGTGAAAATTTTTTTGATTGACTCTGCAAGGTGTTTTAATCAGGCGAATATGATATGATGACATAATTTCCGGAGTGTATTAATAGTAACTTTCCATGTAATATTATGTTCTTAACTGGTTCTCAAAAAGTATGGCGTCGAGTTCCAAAGTCCTGTAATCACAGCCGTCTTGTGACACCAGTGCCTAATTTTACCGGATTTTTTTTTAAGTCTGAGTCTAAAATGCTATTTCTTCTTTACAGGAAAAGCGAACCGAGCGTACCAACCGTACCAGCACCGCGGTGACAGCAGCGACGGGGAATGTGACGAAGACACTGCCGAGTTCCAGCCCAACCGTCACCAGCACAGCTTACAACACCAGTATCACCGGCATCGCAGGCCTAACCACACTTACCAGCAGCCCGGTGCACTTCTCAACACCGACACCAGTGGCACGTCCGGAAACTGTTCGGACGCGACGCTAACGGATTCGGAACTAGCGTTCACCAGGGACGCTACTTTGCAGCTGCACGACGGTGGTAAGAGCGACGTTTTTTCTTTACCGTCCCTTATAGTCATAAGTCGTACCTTTCAATCGGTCCCATCGGACTAGCGAATCACTGCAGATCAGTATGAATCATTTCCCGGGGTGGAAGCAATCGTCGTCCCCTCGAAACGATATTTTACGATCTAAATAACGACGATATTTTTCCGATGCTTTTTTTTTCAATTTCAATGCCTACTAATATAATATATGACTAAATATATTACATTATTGTGAAATGGTATGACGGGAATCAGCATAATTTATGTGCATTTTAACGTTGACACGATAAATATTTAATTCTGATTCCAATGCTCTAGATTCCTTACATTCATAAATGCATACGTGAAATGGTATGGAGGTACGATGTACGTTTCGAATATTGAGAATTGTGTTGTTTTTAATTTTTACCTATATTTTTCAAAACGAATCCGACACGTAGATAATTTTGAATAATGTCTACTGCATACTTTTCCTAACTTCGCGTAGGTATACTGCAGTGTACAGCGAGTATAGTCGCGTTTCTTATTTTCTCTAACGAATAACGGTCGTTTTTCAAAATTAGCGACCATTGTCGTCCCCGCCAAACGACGAGCCAAGATTTATGTGCGTTTAAGAGTCGTGACGAAAACAGTGGGAGGGTGGAGGGTAACCCTCTTGGGACTACTCCGAGATGGTAAAAGAAACATAGGAAAAACCCAACCTCGAGAATATCCAAACACACTTGTTATCAAAACAAATTGTTCCACCACTATGACTGCGTATAATAAGACATTTATTACGATTCGCTCACAGTACATTTTGACCTGTCGTGCTTGTTCACCGTCGCCGTAGCCCCGACAACGTTATTATTACCATTACTGTTTAAAAAATAATACTATATAATACAGTGTCGTTGTTGGACTCGCTAATATCATCATTTCGATTGGTAATTTCTAATGGGTTCCGTCCATTTTTTATCGTATAACTACTACTAGGTATATGGAGCTCAAATTGAAATAAGTGGACGTAGTAAACCATCAATCAATTTAATATTCTATATTATTATATACATTATACGCATATGTGTATATGTATGTGCGGCGTTCATTAGGTAATTATAATTATTCGGCGGTGCTTTTAGAACGTTTTATACACACAGAGCCTTCGATGGAAAATATCCAATACGCTTTTAACGTGATTAACGATCAGACCGGGATGTTATTATAACATGATTTGCGGAGGGGGTGGTAAGAAAACGCATAATGCTAATACGAAATACAACTACATAATAATAATATACAACATGCCTCTACCAGCAGCAGTGGTGGGGCAGAATATTGTGTTTGACCGGCGTCCATCAATTAGGGGAAATTGATGTAAGCGCCCGCGCTGTCCGTATTATTCCACTGGGCACCGTACATGTATAATATTCGCTATGGTTAATACATTGGATATGATAACTGCAAATACCCGATGCCGATCGGTTTTGTGTGTTGGGTTGTGTGTTTGGTGTGTGGGAGTGTGGGAAGGGTGAAAGAGAACGGTCGGCCGACCAGTGTGAAGCAAATCAGATCAATTAAATTATACATTTATATAATATTAATGTAATATCATTCAAAAACCTCTAGTCAGCATACATGAGCATACGATTTAATAATTATATATAATACAATATATATAGGTACTGCGTAAACTAAGTAGGTACATCAATATCTTAACAAATAATTAAAACCGCTTAACATAATAAATTAACATGATGGTCGAAAACGATGCATTTTCTAACGATTTTATTATTATTAACTCCTCGAAAATGCGATAATATGTTTTAAGTTTATATTAAGATTAAACTTTATATTTTATAATTTATTATTGAAAAGACATATTTTTAAAATAGATTAAATGATAATACCAAGCAACTGATTATAACACTTTTAAACACAGTATATCATTTTAATTATCGATTTAATTTGATAACAATCCAAACACATTGTACATTTCTTGCATCCGCTGGAAAACAAAGTTTTTGTGTAGATAAGAACATTGTATTTCGTTCAATGTACGCTTATTAAACGAATACCCATTATTTCTTATCGTTATCGTTTAAAAAGTTGCCACAATAACCAAATAATATAATTTTTATTAAATAATCCTTTCATAAAATACTAAATTAAACAACGTACCTATAAGTACTATAATTTTGTGTAGTTATAACTACTAATATACTAACAAGTATCAATAATATATAATATTATTAAACTATATAATAATACTATTAAAATAAATTAAATACATTAATCTATTTACATCTAGTTTTAAATTAATCTTTAAAAATATTTATGTGTATACATAAAAAGTAATTATTATGAGTAGGTGCATTATTTATATAATTAATCATAATAATATAATATAATACATAATATCCCTATTAATATCCTGTTTTGGATAAATTGGTTTTACTTAAACATTAATATCTATATTATATACGCAATACACATACATAATATTTTGATTTTTCCAGTGGAGAAATTATTTTATAAACTTATTGTTTTTAAATGGATATTAATGATCAACTTTCAAAGTTTCGGCTAACAAATAGCGGCTGTCCATTCGGACATTTTTATTGCGTAATCTCTCGTAGTTTGTTTTTCTTTAAGAAAGTTTTTATCCGCTTTTCTTAATAATTTCCACACAGGCAAGTAAATCCTATTCCCCTACCCGTTGTTATTAATATCGTTATAATTGAATGCTTTCCGGATCAACTCATTCGATACACAACGATCATTGTGTGTTTTTATTTCTCACTGAATTCCGTTTACCCCTTCATATAATCGTCCATTAAAAAAATAATGAGGACATACTCAGGAAAATAAACATAAAAAAAATGTCGGCTGAACACAGTATACGAATTGGAGAGGCACCCCGTCGGTGTGAAAAGTTCCGTACAAGTTTAGCCATTGTTTATGTAACGTAGTACCTAGTTATCTTTACCTTTGATACTAAACATCTCAGTTTAATGCTACGGTGAACTTAGCGATAATTATTTTTTCGGACCATAAAGCGTAAAATGTGAAAATATAGTGTGTCTTAAATATAATAAAAGAAGTCCGTATGAAATAAGATAATGAAACCAATAATAATTATAGATTGAACCATATTATCATTATATTTTGAAGGTGCAACACAAGTTGGTCCGTTGCGACGACGCTCTGTAGTAAATTAATGAATTTTTCAAATAAATTTAAATTAAAAACCGTAGGTACAAGTTATGCAATAAATTATATACGATTCTAAAAAATAAATTTAAGTGTTGGTTATCAAAATTAATTACTTGAATTGGCTCGGTGAGTAGTTATAACTTATAGTACTTATAATTTAATTTCGCATCGCTGCCTATAAACAGAGCAGTAAAGTACTTTTATTATTTTGTTTATTTTATTGTATGAATTACATCCCGAAGGGTAAGAGTTTATAATTAATATTTAGTATACATGCATATAGATACAAATTAAATATAATAACTAAAAATAGTTAACATAGCTTTTATATTAAGTATCACAGTAAAATGTAATTGATTTTAGTTTATATAATATGTAATAAAAAAAACTCAAAATCTGAAAATCCATTAACTGAACGTACAAGCGAAAAATTAGAATATTTGAGACGTACAGTTATTACTAGATAGACTCTACAAAACAAAATATGGGATTATCTTAGAATAAAAAAAATTGGTACTCTTAAGTTGATTTTGACTTAGATATCTGGGAAATCTATGAAACTATTGAGTAGTTTGAATAGAAATATTAAGTTGAAAACTAGACTTCTTGATTTTAACCTTTTAAGACCAATAGAAAGAAAGCAACATCCTCTATGGCTCTTCATAGCAAGTACCAATATATCAATATATAGTACTTAAATTAGTTCTAAAAGTTTTAAATTAAAATGTTTTTTCTACTTATTTAAAAAGTATTCTATACAACACTACCATAACTCGCTATGGATTCTATCTATATAATAATACAATTTTACCCACATTAGAATAATATTTGTATTAATCATAGTATCATTTTTAATTGACTTAAAAACAGGGTAAACTATTTTTATTTATATTTCAGAAATAGTGTATACCTACTTTATATAAATATAATATAAAATATATTGCATAGATGCACTTATTTGATAACCATGTAATATAAACGCCCACACAGATATATAATATTTATTATACACTAAGTACCTAAGTTTAAATTGTGTAAGTCGCATTTATAATAATATTTTATCATCAGAAATAATTTAGAGATAAATTTAAAACCAGTAACCACTATAAAGTTATATTGATTGTATAGCAAATTATAACTAAAAAGGGGTTCCCGGATTCAAAAGCTTTTATGCTATACCAGTAATTTTACGCTATTGGACAAGTTGAATATGAGAGAAACACTGAGGGAATTCCAAATAAATTATCAGTAGTTGATGCCGTTGGTCACAATGAAATACAATATGACTGTGTGGAATTTTATCCAAGCTGTAATACATTTTACGATATACTTTTTCGATTAAATTAGTTTACTTATATATTTAGTAAAAAATCAAGAATGAATGCCTCATAATGTAATCGGTAATAATATTGTATGGTTGGTAAAAAATGAAATGTATTTATGGAAAGGTATAAACAGAAATAAAATTCATAATGTTTATTTACAAAATAAAATAAAATGGTCAAGTTGGAGTGTAAAATTATCAAACATACTAAAACAAATATTTAAATGTTTGCATTACGTTATGATATATTAGCCTCATTTTTGTTCAATATTACTGTATTCATGCAATATAATGAGACATATGATAATATTGTAAATATATGGTAAATATCAGAGGGGTAAACTGGAATGGAACAATAAATATTTTGTTCATTTCCGGTTCAGTCAGCCAGCTCAAAAACGACAATTCGGGGGATTTAACACACGTTTGTTTTACGGTATTTAAAGTCATTCGTGTTTCACAAATTTAATGGCA